AAAGCATTTCCTTTGCCTATAGTATTAAGTATTTGGGTGTAGTTATCGATAGTAACTTGAGTTTTAATTCTCACGTGGATCTTCTCTCATGCAGAACTCGTAAACTCATTTATATCTTTAAAACTTTAAGACTTATAGCAGACAAAAAAATTATTAACGTAGTTTATCAGGCTTTATGTCAGTCAATTTTAGGCTATTGAATCACTGTTTGGGGAGGTACTTTCAAAACAAACTTGAAAGAGCCCAACGAGCAGTGTTAAAAGTAAGTCACTCCTTACCGCTTCTTTTTCCCACCAAAGAGCTTTATGCCCTAGCCGATGTATTAACAATTCGTCAATTATTTATTCTCAACATAGTTTTAAAACAACATTATAAAACTAGTTACGACCCCGAATTAAATATAAACAAGCGGATTAAACATAAAGTTTGCTGTTGTATTACACAATGGACAACTTCTTTCTCGCAAAGATTCTTTGGTATCCTAGGCTGTTACTTGTATAATAAATTAAATGAAAAAATTAACAATTACCCACTATCTTAATATGAATGTAAAAAGATGGTTACTACTTGGCTGAAGACGTTGAGTTATGATGAAACAGAAGATTTAATAACTGTTATTCTATAACACACCCACTCCCCCACACATATACACACACCCACGCACTTAGAGAGAGAGAGATACACACACGCGCACACACACACATACACACACTAAATTTATTTTTACGACTCCGTTTGCAATGTTTTCTATTAGCACTTAATACTTATTTTCTTCTATTGTATCTTATGACAATGACCTGATTGTACGTGTTCCAGTCCGGTGGTGGAGAGGCTGGCTATCTGTCACTCAGGTCTCCTGTTACAGAGACCAGTCTCTCACATACACTTCCTAATGTTATTATCTTAGTTTAATCATAATAACCTTGTATGTATATGTGAGAGAAGAAATAAAGATTATTATTATTATTACTATAGATTATTACTATTAGTAACAAACAATAAGAAAGATAGCTTTTATGATCGTTGTTAACTTGAATTAATAAATATTTCTTTTTATATTATTGTTTGCGTCAAATAACAGAGACGGGGCAATACGTTGACTACGTCTTTTGTTTTGCTTTGGAGATATTATATGCAGTACTTTATTCACCGAGTGCAATTACAAAAGCTCTTAAGTCGAATTCAATTGTTGAAAATAAGTGAAAAATTGTATGCACTCAGATTTCAAGAGTTGGTTAAGGGGTGGACACATTAACAGTGAGAATTTCTGTATATCGCGGGTATATTATACACCAAAAGGCGCGACGTTAGTGGGTCCCACAGTTTACCAGAGAGACTTGCAGTATTACTAATATAGCTTGTATAAACAAATGAATAGCGAGATAAATGTCATGAATTTTGACATTGGGGAGTCATACATTGCCCTAACTCTTGACTCTAAATCTTACCCTAATGTACGTCTGGTACGTTCTTCGTAATGACAAGAACTGTGTATTTTATTAAGAATATTATTTTGTTTAAATTTGATCGATTAATTTGACTAAACTTTCTACAAACACCACATAAGCGAAACTCTACATACACATGCGACATAGTTGCTTTCTTTGTGCATTTTCCCTACACTGGTTCTTAAATACTTTTAAGAAAAAATGCTTTTGTTATTGGTATATATTGGAGCAGTTTGATCCCCGGCTGTGTACCAATGGACTTTCTTTCTATGTGCGCATTTAACATTCGCTCGAATGGTGAAGGAATACATCGTAAGGAAACCGGCTTGCCTTAGACGCAAAAAAGTCGACGGCGTGTGTCTGGCACAGGAGGCACCCTATAAGATTGAAAAATAATCATGAAACAGATTCAGAAATCCCAGACCTAAAGAGGTTGTAGCGTCACTGTTTTTTGTTGTGGGTAAACGCTGACGCTGTTCATGTAAGGATCACCTTAAAACAGCGATTCAGTTAGCTCCGACGAAAGAATAGGTTGAGATCGCTTAGCATTTTTATTGGACATTTTCTCTCTTCGGATTTGAATAAGACTCTTCTATAGAAATTACACAAGTCGCTCCGTGAATCGATTAAGCTTATTTGGATTATTTCATAATAAATATTCATTTTTGGTATCCTGAATACTTCAAGAAATAGAATCGTAAATTAAATTAACAGGCTACATGTTTGAACGGCGTAAGGAGTAGTAAATTTTCGCGTTCGTTTGATTGACCAAGTAGATAAATATTTTTTTGTAGTACAAACCTGAAAAAATGTTGTTTCGCTGTTAATCGCACATAGGGTTACGCCATGCAAGGCAGCCATGACCGAATATTTAGTATTATTGTTCTAAACAATGACGTCATGTGACGACCTTAATTGAAAATGTACTTTCAGAGACCGGAGAAAGAGACCAACTATATCCAAGTAGGTTATAGGATTCAGAAGAGAAAATATTGCATAGAAACTCCTTAATCCATATTCTACGCAGTCCATGTCGCGGGAAGTACGAATAAAACGTCTTTTACATAAAGGCTGGGCTTGTTGACAGGTTTATTCATTCCGTCCCTTAATCGTCGCGAAGTCAGATTGAAATTGACTTTTTTTGAGAGGTTAGATTGCTTAATTTATGTACCCTTCGGCAATATTACATTTTATCACTGCGGCTTTTTTGGAGGCGCGAATAACTTTAGTTTATTCGCAGAAGAATGTTTGACCTTTTTAATTTAATTTAATCCGTCGCTAATTCGCCAAAAGGAATAAATCGTCTGATAATCCTAAATTTCATTCGTCAATATTGCAGTTATATAATAACTGAATTGATATACTTCTGTGTTTGTTACCATTGTTAATTTTTAATATAATAACAGAAATCGAATCGGTTTGATCGTGCTTTTTAGGCGCCCTATAAACTTACTTTTATAACTTACATACTAAAAGGTTTAATATTACTATAAATCAAGATATATAGAGTAATATTCTTCTTCTTCTTTTTTTGATTCTTTTTTTTGAGGTCCATTACTGAATGTAGTCTCGGGAAGCGTGTCTTGTCCTGTGCCAGATGCAGCAACTCTTCCGCAGTCGCAATAACTCCACTCCAATCCACAATAAGTCCACTCCCTAACCTTACGAAACCATTTTACCTTCTACCAATACGCCGTTTACTCAAACTCAAACTCAAAATAACTTTATTCATATAGGTAACCAAGTACACTTATGAACGTCAGAAGAAAGGATGATAAATTGATTCTGAATTTACATTTAATACCAGCTCGCAAGTTAAGAGGGCAAGAAGTACTGGCAAGAAACTCTCCGCCACTCTTTTTAATCGCCAAGTTTTGAGTCATACAAATTGTTTGAACTGGAGCAAATCAATCCCAAGGATTAGGATCATTTAAATAATAGTCAAATTTATAAAAAGCTTTATTGATTAATTTACGTTTAACTAGATTTTTGAATTTATTCAGTGATAATTCTTTAATTTCGCTTGGGAGTTTAGTTAGTACTATTAAACTTATATAATAGCAGTTTATCTAAAAAGACAAATGTGAGTGAAATAAATAATTGTCCCGACAAAATGAGAAAATGAAATCCTGGTAGCACTCAGAGTAATTGCAAAGTCAAAGTTCAATCAGTTAGATGAAATTAAAAACGTAACAAGGTTTTAGCTGAAGGATTATAACCGATGTTTTTACTAGCTACAGTTACAGTGGCATTTTGTGATGGCCTACGATTTGAGATTATTGGGAGCGATTAAATTTTTTTGATTTGGGCTAATAAGACCTGAAATTAAATATAAAACGTTCCTGCATATTTTGTCCATTCGATGCCAGAATGATTCCATATTTATACGTATTTTTGTTAATAGTAATAATGTGTTTAGAGCAGTGTTGGCCTAGTGGTTTCGGCGTGCGACTCTCATCCCTGAGATAGTAGGTTCCATCCCCGGCTGTGCACCAATGGACTTTCTTTCTATGTGCTCGAACGGTGAAAATAAACATAGTGAGGAAACCGGTTTGCCTTAGTCCCAAAAAGTCGACGGCTTGTGTCAGGCACAGGAGGCTGATCACCTACTTGCCTATTAGATTTAAAAATGATCATGAAACAGATTCAGACATCTGAGGCCCAGACCTAAAGAGGTTGTAGCGCCACTGATTTTTTTAAATAATGTGATACGATGAAATTTGAAAACTATTATTCACTATCGTAGCGATGAATGAAATATCTATTATTTGCTTTAATAACGGTTAACGGTATAGAAATGATTAAGAAATAAAAATTCAAGGGAATTTTTGTTTCGTTTTTCTATATCATTCTTCAACCCACAGTGTACCTACTCTTCATTTTAATTTTATAAGGGTTTGACATTAGTCATATTTCAAATAATATACCTAGTATAAAAATTTGTAAAGAAGCAGCGGAACAGTATTTCATGTAAATTTTCCGCGCCAGGCGTCGACGCTGAAAGAAATAGCTTATTTATGAACCGGCTATACCATTCAAGACTCGAACTTGCTACTAATAAAAAAAAACGTAATTTATGCTTTAAAAACGCGAAGTTTAAGAATTGATTTTCAAGTTTTCAAATTGCTTTTTAAATGTAGCGTAGTAGCTGTTTAAATTGATTTGATTAATTTGAATTGATGTTTAGGCTTTTAAACCCCCCAAATAGGGCATTTGGTAGACACATTCAGTATGTCCTTACGTTATAGGTTGTGTTAAAGTACTAAACTAAACCGAAAGGATTGCGGTTATAGAAAAAAAGAGAGAGTCGGGGTTCAAACACCCGGCCTAAGTTTAAGAATGGCACGCTGTCCATGAATCACGTGATCACGTTTTTTGAGCATTTTTAACCCCCCTATCCCCCTTGGTGATACGTGGTGAGGTTTAAGACTAACATGTTCCTTAACTTTCTTCCTTGTACAGAAGCACAATCCACACCACTAGCTCGTTCTTTCCACAAGTTACTGACGATCCTTCTGCAGACTAGGGCAATTCTGGTCATAAGGCAATTTGTTAAAGCGTTGGGGTGATTTCAAGAGACCGACTCAGGAGAAATGTAGCATATGTCTTGGCATCACGCTCTTGAGGCTTCGGAATAGAGACGCCACTGGACGATTGCAAAATCGGGTAAGGAGGTATAATGAAGCGTTCCGAAAGAATATATCGAACAGAACTCTGCACATTTGCACAGCAAGCACGGTCATCACACTTCACCACCTGGTGATGATATTAAGATATTGTAATTGTATTAGATAAGAAAAATAAATCAAAAAATGTACCTAAAGCAACCACTGTCTCTCTCGGACATGCTCGCTTTGCCACTGCTGTGAAGGCAGGTCTGGAATAAAGCTTTCAGCACTGTCATCGGGGTCGACATACTCTGCTTAAACGTCATGAAGGCCGATAACCAAATTATTCTTTACTTCTGTGAGAACTTCTACACCTTTCTGAAAGTTATTTTTTTCGAGATCATGTTCTTTTGTCCTCCCATGTGCATCCAAATGGGTTCCATAAGAATCATGCGGAAGTATGAGTCCACATAATTCCCAGCATCAAGGCGCCATTCCTCTTTCGACGCGTTTGAACGCGCTACTGCCAAGTGCATTCGAAAATATATATACTGCAAAAACTTATTTGCTAATGTTAAATGTTATTAAATAGATACCGATAGAGATAATATTGGAGGACTTCTTTGCTTGGTGCTTTCGGCGGGTATCTAGCAAAAGATCAAACAAACAAAAATCATTTATTCATGTTGGTAACACAATGTATACTTATGACGGTAAAAAAAAAGAAATATGCATTAAATTCTTCCAATTTTACATTTACTGCCAGTTCTCAAATCAAGGGCGTAGAACGGAAGAGAAGAACTGGCAATCAACTCTCCGCCACTCTTTTTAATCGCCAAGTTTTTGTTTTACAGAACGTTTGCAAAGAGCTGCAACCATTACACCATGTTCCACATTACATCTTAAGAAATAAATAATAATAAAAAAAATGAAAAACAAAGATTCGTCCACTTCATAAATTCTTCTTTTGTATATTTTTGATTCGCATTAGCCCACAACTCAGTAAATTCTTTCTGAGCCACACTAGGTTTTTTCCTTTCTTATACTCAGTCAAATAGGTATTTATACAGATCACCTAGCTGAGACATTTGTTTTAATGCAAGACATACGAGGTAACGGTTTATGCATGTTCGTTGCAAAATAACATTAACTGGCGACTAGTAAGCCGTGCCTGGTGGGCGTCCCGCACTTCGGTCGTCGCTAGGTATACCTACACGCCGCTTTTCATTAAAGAAATCGCGCGATTGACGAAAATATAAATACACGTAATGTCTAAACTTCTCTCCCCCTTGTGATATTTCGCGATTTTTGCCGAACCTCCTCCCCTTTACCAGCCTCAAGTGATTAATGGACGGCCCCTTACTGCAAATGTAAATTATATGCATCTATATTTTATGACCAAAGAACATTCAATTAATTAGAGAAACACAAACAGGCAGGATATTGTTCGTGTCATGATAATTAACGACCAAACAATTAATTGAATAGCAATTATAACCTTAATTAACATGTTCTAATTAAATTTTTGATTGAATGATTAATAAAAGATTTAAGCAAAATTTGCTCTCTTTTTAAGCTGAATTTAATAAACAAATAAAAATAGTCATCGTTAAATTAATTACGTTGGCTGGTAAAATCTATTTATGGGAATATTGTTATTTGATATTATGTTAATATATTTGTTTATTACTACGCTAGCTGTGCTCTGCACCCGTTTTCGGTCGTAGAGCAATGTTATACATAGTTTTATTATTATTATATTTATTAGCTCTATAAATGTATCTCCAATTATAACAATCTGATTGGATGATACATTGTTAAATTTATTATCTAACTTTGGTCCCGAGATAAATCTCGACATTAAAAAGTTATATATGAAAATATATATATGCATACTTATTTATTATATTATATATACAGTAGTTTATTGACGATTTCTATTTCTGGACAACTTAAGAATATATTTCAGCAAAAGACATGCATGCGTTAAAATTTTCACAAAGATGTGTTATCGAATAATACGTTTGACCGGCATCGTGGGTTAACGCTAAATGCATATGGTGTAACCTAGAAGTCTTGGATTCGAATTGACGCAGACGACCTGAATAAAGGTCAAAAAAACAGGTGCAAATCCATGCCCCATTTGCACGGGCCTAAAATATGCATGTACAAAGTCAAATGATACAAATAAATTTAATTAACATCCTCGAACCGAACGGAGTGATATGCACTGAGGGTTTAATATGTTCTCACAGTCAAATATTTCTTGTGGGAAAGGAATGAATTTCTGTGGGAATTCCGTTTGGTGGTAATGACACGTGCCACGGCGTGTAGGGGAGATTAAACACTTATTTGTGTTGGGGAAACGTGAATAATTATTGTGTGAATGTTTTTTCAGGTGAGAGGTAGCGGTGTCAGGACCGTAACATGTGTAAATAAAACGACACAAATCACAGTTTATGTTTAAACATATTCAGAAATTATAAGAACAAGATGATAATGGAAACCATCACGTTTTGCTTAGAATATTTTTTTAAATTGAATAGGCAAACGGGCAGGACGCTCACCTGATCTTAGGTGATGCCGCCGCCCATGGACGCTTTCAAAGCCAGAGGGTTCGCGAAAACCTTTGCAGGACTTTTAAGAATTGGTACGCTCTTTTCTTGAATGACTCTTTATCGGAGAAGAGTGGAGAGATATTGTTAAAGAGTAAAGACATAGTCAAAAATATAATTAAATATTATTTGTTATAGTTTAACATTTATTACTAATGTCGTACTAATTATAATTACAATTACTTTAACGAACACTAGAAATACAAAAAAAACAAATCCTTAACTAAATGTTCACAAAAACCACTTTCCAAACTGGTTCAATTTAATAAATTGATTTTGATTGCCATCGACTTATTTTTTATTCAGTAGTTAGTTAGTAAATTAACCAAACTACTTAAACACACTACACACATTCAAAAGGTAAATAATGCCGTTGAGTAGTTATTAACAATGCTGTGTTATTAACATTATATTAAATTGTCAATTGACTCAGGTGACATTATTTGCTTCATTTGTTATCTTTACCAAGGTCGTTTCCCGTGGGAACGCGTCACATACCCGTGGGAACGGGCGAGTTGTGGGAAAATTATAATTTTTGTGGTAACTACAAAGTAGACCCTTCCACACATTTCGTTACGTATTTCATTATATAATAAATACGTATAATTTGTACTGTTTTTGTACAAATTAACTATTCTAATCCCGACTAAGATAAGCTCAATAATAATCCATAATGACTAGTGAAAAAAAACACCGGGTTGGGTAAAGAGGAAAAGAATTAAATTTTATAGTTAATATTTCCTATAACAAATTACAAGGTGAAAATTTCCACTTAAGCTGTCACGGGCAAACATTCACATTCGCGTATTTACGTTGGAATTGGGTGTCACGCTATTATCCGTACCTTGCAGTGACGTATTCATTAGCTACGTTAAATACACCACTTGAAAATATAATATCGTCATATCTTTTAAATGAAATTTATTATGAAAAGATCTCATAGTCTTCTGAAGTTTGTGGTGTGAGTATGTGAAACTCGCTGAAAAGAATAAGAATGACAATGAATAGACTAAAACCGCCATCTCTTCGACTTATACTCATAATAGTTTGAACATTTTGGGTTCGACCTCGGTACTGCCATTAATAGTAAATTTAATGCCATCTTTGACTGTCTATTTGAAATTCTAAACTAATAATAATAATACTTTACATTTATATTTCCATTATCTCATGACTTCCTAGGTATCTAGCGTACCCTTTTTTGGCAAAGGACTCCTCTAAATCTCGCCATTTCCGTCTGTACTGCGCTACTCTTTGCCCTGCACACCACCTCCTGTTTCCTTAATCTCATCTGTCCTACTCTCTTTTGAATTTTTTGTACCTTAGGTACCAATTTTGTACTTTGTTGCTCCACATTTCTGTTTGAGATCCATATGTTAGTACAGGTACACAAGTATTGAAAAGCTTCCTTTTAGCAGCATGGTAGACTCGTTTTATTATTTTAGATGACTTCTCTAAGCACCAGAGCAAAAGATCTTCCAGACCTTGCTATTCGTGTGTCAATTTCTTTTATAGCTACATCGGTCATAGATATTGTCTGACCAAGGTCAGCTAAATACTGGTACCAAATCGAGATAAATACGAAACCGAGTCGAATAAGTGGCTACATATTCTATAATATTGTTGTTTAATAGTACTATTTCCTTTTTGAAGTTGATCATTACTTTGGTTTTATTTTATTTTATTTTATTTTACAATTTTAGGGAAACTTACAGCTAAATAGGCTCAATAGTATACAATTAACATGATGACGGCCAATTATCAGTTTCCACACTTACACATTATCACATCATTACACACCAACGCTCAAAAAACTCTCAAGGCTATATTAAAAACTAAGTCTCAAAGTATCGGTCACAAAGGGCTTTCTTCGTTGCAGTAACACTTGTGCAGAACAAGTCCAAATTAAGCTCCAGACATGCCACATTAAAAGAACGACATGCTCATGGTAAGAATTTTTTCTGTATGTAGTTCGTGCTATGGGGACGTATAATAAATTTGGTCCGCGCAGAAACAATGATGGTGCGTACAGGCCCACCCTAGATAACAGTTCTGGCAACTCAGCCGCATCATTAAGTAAAGACACTAGGAACGTAATGTCCGATATTTTTCTACGCTCAGCTAAAGGCAAAATATGAAACTTTTTGCAGCGTGTATGATAGTCAGACAGGTAACAATTAGATTAAAATTGAATGTACCTTAAAAATTTTCTTTGTACACTTTCAAGGCGGTCTATATAAATGTTGTATATTGGGTTCCATACCTGTGAAGCATATTCGAGGTGACTACGAACGAAAGAGCAATATAATATTTTAATGGTTTTAATTTCCTGAAAGTCGGACGAGATTCTTATAATGAAACCTAACGCTTTCGTGGCTTTATTAATGATGCTCTCAATATGCAGATCAAAGAGAAGTTTGCTGTCAAATATAACTCCAAGATCTTTGACAGATCCAACTCTTACTAAAATAGAATCTTGAAGTTTATAGGGAAAGGCAATGGGGTGGAGTTTGCGAGTAAATGTACAAATGTAACACTTAGATACATTCAAGTCGAGCCCGTTCAGTACACAATAATTTTGAAAGCGGTCCAGATCTTCTTGTAAAGAGAGTGCATCAGCGACAGAGTTAATCTGTTTCATGATTTTCATGTCGTCTGCATACAGTAGAATTTTGGACGACTGAAAACAATGTGTGATGTCGTTAACAAATACATTAAAGAGAAGTGGGCCCAGAAGCGATCCTTGTGGGACTCCTGAAGGTATATATCTAGTTCTTGACGAGTATCCATTCAACACCACAGTCTGACATCGATTCTCTACGTACGATGAGAACCATTTTCTCGGCATTCATTGTAAGACCGACAATCCTGCTTTCCGAGTCTGGTTATGTGACCATCCTCTCCAACTCATCGGGTGTTAA